CCGGCTGGGATATTTCTCCGATATTTAAGCAGTGCCACCGTTCCGTCTGATATCCAGTGCTTAAGTGCGCCTGGTGGTGCCGTACCACAGGCAAAATTCCGAGCACTATGCAAAGAGGTGGCAATCTCGCCCCAGTATGAGTTCGCATCTGATGGTGGAATCTTTGGAAGAGAGTCCAGAAGGCGATTCTGGTAAGTTCGTCTAACATCCGGATCTGCCAGTGTTTCAGTTGCCAAGTAATTTGTCCGCACCTCACACGGCCCTGGAAAACGTAGAGAGAAGCTACTCCGGTTGAGCACGTGGTCGGAATCCACAGATGTTCCAAAACGATCAGCAGTCAGTTACTGACCCGCCCCACCGGTAACTAATGGCAATGTGATCGATAGGAGTTTGTGGCCCGCATGTCATTGGAGGGCACTATGTGACTAGACGACTTCGACTATTTCAGAAAAAAGACTGTGATCAGTACATAGCTGAAGCAATCATCCCCCATTTTCCGTAAATGCTGAGTCCAATGCATGTTGACCTTTTAATTGAGTCTCGGATACACTGAAGCCCGCCAAATTGTGCCTTCAAACCTCCTGCGGCAACCGCCACGATGTCTGACCTTTTAGCTCTGAACAGGCGTAGTCGGTTTGCGCATTCATATAATCTGTTAGAATAGCAAGATTGGTGCGTTTTTGCCGACTGGACAAGCAACTGCATGGATGTGTGAAACTTTCTGTTTGTTCACTCTGATAGGGGCGTTAGTTTTGGAGACCTCACCTCGGGGCTCTGACTTGAAATACAGGAGATATTTTGGGGATTTCTTAGGGTGGTGGTTTAATTCATGGCTTTGGAGGTTGACCTAGCGGGATTCCACAGGGAGTAAAACACAAATATCTGGTTCTTTATGCTGTCACGTTTGGAACCGCGTCGGGTCGTTTGTCAGATATGGTAGTTTTTCGATCAAACTGAGTGGCATGGCTGCTAGGCACTGGAAGAATGGTTATTTAATTAAGGACGACCGAGATGGACAAGTCGGCGCTTCTGATCCGTCGTTTCTGAGGTTAGAGTGTGCTGTATTTAGGACGCGTTTTCTCGCCCCTGCACTCTTTGGGGAAAACAGCATCACTTTCCTTAAACTTCCTAATGGTGGTCACCTGCAAGGAGCACTCTGCTGCTCTCACATCCCTGTCGCAGTAGATAGCACGACCTTGCGCTCAAAATGCCTAGTAATAAGGGTTAGTACAGAACCAGTTGCCTTAGAAACAACACTTTCCGTTCGTTCCGTAGTTCTATCGGAATATATTTGAGCGGGGGCGAGATGGCTTAGTGGTTAGAGCGCGAATTTACTGACCGCAAGGCCCTGTGGTTCGAACCTGACCTCTGCTTCTCGACTTCCTCTGTCTAGGGTTGAGCAACCCAGCAGTATCCCAGCCTTCGTGTTTCTTTCTGGTGGCGTGGCAGCTAGGCACCGAAAGGGGGTTACAGCTGAACGGTTATCTTTCTTTTTTACCCCTTATATTTGAGCGGGAGCAGGTGCCCATGTCTCTAACGTAATCCAGGAGGGGCAATCCAATTCGCTGGTATCAGGGATTAAACGACCAGCTACTCAGTTAATCATAATCGTTTGAATACTTTATCCGCAGGTCCCAGCTCTAGGGCTGACCGTTTTGCTCTCCCTCCATCACACTCAGCTGCACCTTCTGTGCGTCCGAGTTCAGTCACAACCCTAAACACTTCGGAGTCTGTTTCCAAACCCCGAAAGCTTGTCCACTTAGCCACCTTCAGTGTTCGCACACTGAAGCAAGCAGGTCAACAGGTGGCTCTTGCGCGTATGCTGCGTGCCCTCTGTATTGATGAGTGTTGCGCATCAGAAACAAGGACGCAAGTACTGTCTGCCCCGTCGCTCTGTTCCAGGTTCTGGCTGCGCACCTCTGGTGATACAGAGGCCGCCTCAGATGGATATGCTGGAGTGAGTATTGTATTGAGCGAACGAGCGGAAGCGTCTCTGCTTGATTGGATACCCATTCATAGTCGCCTCTGT